AGGTTATTGAAAATGAAAAAATTTCAATTGACAAATTTGTCCGTAGACACAGCAATTATAGGACTTGAACAGCGGAACTTTGTAACTGAACAAGAAATTATGTCTGTTTATAGAATCAAAGAGAATGTATTATCACATAAAAAATGAAGCAACTTAAACAACTTACATACTAATTTATTAGTATAAATCTTTCTGCTCAATAATATGGTTCCATAGCTGCCTATTTGCTTGGCATATATCTCAAACAAAAACATTTTACCGACAAATCTAAAGTTTACTTATTTTACTCCTACTGAATAACTTATATTAACTCTTTCGGCAACCCGGGGAATAAATTTTTATTATTTTTGCTTTCATTACCACTTGGGGGCCCTAGACAAAGTTTTATACAGGGTTTTTATAAAGTCCCGGACCCATTTTGATGTTTAATAACTCATAAAATAATGAAGATATAAACAAACTTATGGCATTTATTGATGGAACACCTTACATATTTTCCTTTTCAGGTTTGAATATCTTTACTTTTGTAAATGTCGTCTGCGCATCTGGTTAATTTCAGATAATTTCATTTTCCAGTCTAAATATCTGTACTTTTCTAAATATCATCTGCTTATTAATTGAATTTTTCTCTCTTTTGTTTTTGGCAACTATTGCAATGTTTTGTTTACTTTTAATGTGTTTGCTGTAGTACTTTTGTATGTGATATTTTATTCGACTGGATATTAAGGAGAATGCATACACCACAAGAGAAAGCACAGATTTTATGGTGGTTCATAGAAATGAAATCCATAACGCAAGCACAGAGAAATTGCAGAAGAATTTACCAAAAAGATCCTCCATCCAAAAGCAGCATATTGCGGTGGAAAAAGAATTTTCTAGAAACTGGAAGTATCGCAGATAAGAAACGTTCCGGACGTCCCTGCACAAGTGATTTTGATGTTGAGTGTATCAGAGAGACATTTTTACACAATCCTGGAAAATCTGTGAGATCAGCAGCAAGAGAATTGGATATGCCAATTTCGACTGTGTACATGGTTATTAAGAAAAAATTAAGACTGCATGCATACAAACTTCAAATTGTTAAAGTTTTGGAACTGGACGATAAGCCTAGGAGGATGGCCTTTGCAACAGATATGCTAAGGAGGATAGAAGATGATGGTGAATTTCTGAAGTGCATAATGTTCTCCGACGAAGCATCCTTTCATCTTTCTGGCATTGTCAATTGCCATAATGTGCACATTTGGGGATCTGAAAAACCCCCATGAATACTGTGAGGCACAAAGGGATTCCCCAAAGGTTAATGTGTGGTGTGCACTAATGCACGACCGAGTCATTTGGCCTTTTTTTTTTACAGAGAAGATGGTCTCATCAGTCATATGCTTAGACATGTTGGAAAACTTCATATTTCCACAACTAGAAGAGCTTCAGCCACATGTCTTTTTGCAAAAAGATGGTGCACCACCTCATTGGGGTCAGGCCCGGATCGAATAGGTGCGGGGCGTTTTTTTTTTTTTTTTTTTTTTTTGTGGGGCCCTTTTTAAATATCTTATACAAATGAATTTTTTTTTTTTTTTTTTTTTTTTTTTTTTTTGATTCAACAACTTCTGTTGAACATTTTCTATTGTTTTCTCAGCAGAAAGTCGTTTTTGAAGCTCTGTACATTTTAACATAGCTACAAATGATTTTTTTTTTTTTTTATTTTTCATGTGTTCTCTTTCTTGTTTCAGTGGATTTGACATCTAATGATAAAATTATAGGTTAGGTATCCATTTTTAATCACATAATATACTTAAATTTTTAATTTTAAAAACAATTGTTTGTTAATAAAGATTATGTAATATAATTTAGTACTTACCTTATTTAACAAATAGTAATTGTAGTCACAAAATATGACTCTAATAATTATAACAATTAGAAGAATAGCGAACTACAAATGCAAGAAACAATTGACATTTGATCCTAGCTATACATCCACCACTGGCTGGTACGGTTGCGCAATTAGTTGCGCGTGCATATACCTGCAAAGTAGTTTACGTACGTAGTGCAAAATCTCTCTAATATAGGACTATCCTGATTAGATTCAATACATTTGACATGAACTTTTACAGGTATCAGTTTTCTATATTATAAAAAATATATTGTATAATAAGAAACACATTAATAAATGCGAACTTAAAATAAACATATTTTTAATTATTTGAATAATTCATAATTTATCCATTATCATCAAAAGCAATTTGCTTTAAATTTCGAATGCTTTTTTTGTTCATTTTTATGGTAATGCGGGGCTCTTTCAAATGCGGGGCCCGATTGGGCCCAATCGCTCCAATTGCTCTCTTTATCCGGCCCTGATTGGGTACCATCATTTGTAGTTCTTTGAATGACCATTTTACAGTAAGGTGGATTGGGCAAGGAGGTCGAATTCCTCGGCCACCAGATCACCTGATATAACGCCACTGGACTTTATTTTAGGGGGATTTGTAAAGGACAACATTTACAGGAGGAGAGTGTCAAACAATGATGACCTAAAAGCGAGAATTACAACCGCGATAGCCTCTGTGGATGCCGACATGCTTGCCAGTACCTGGCGTGAAATTGAATATTGATTTGATATTCTCCGTGCGATGAAGGGGGCACACGTGGAAGTTCATTGACAAGGGTCATGAAACTATTTCAGTCTATCTAACCATTTATGTTATTAATTTTATTTTATCTTTATTATTCTATGAGTTATTAAACATCAAAATGGGTGCGGGACTTTATAAACACTCTGTACATATATAAAGTGTGTATGTGTATACATACATACATACATATATATACATTTTATCTAATTTTCCTAATTTCCTTACCTTTGCCCAGTATTTAGTTAAAGTTTTGTTGAGCTTGTAACTTCAGTTTTAAATAATGCAGTCTAGTACAAAACATATCTTTCAATAATACCCTTTTTTCAATTTGTAATTTTCTATTCCAATTCTAATTCAATTAAATAAAATTATTTATTCAAATTCAATTAAATTATTTATTCGGATTTTTTTATTAAATTTTTTTTTTTCAAAATATTTTTATTCTTTAGTAGTTTGCAACCTCTTTTTTCACAAATAGTAGTACATATTTTTCACTTTTACACTTTTTAACAATAACTCAAAGTTAGCAACATTTTTGCACACAAAACAAGTACAGTCAAAAGTCGTTAATCCGGACTCGTTGGGACTTCGGCGATTCCGGATTATCGATTTTTCCGGATTATAAATCATCAGTTTAAATCTGGTAAATGGAGGTGCCAAGTGCCTTCAACATGGAGGTGCCAAAATTAAATTCAGAATTAGGACCCTCCACATGCTGTATTATTAAAAAAACGTCTAATACTCATGCTTGAAGCATTAAGTATATGTTACTCTTAAAATCTAATTCTTTCTCCCTTTTCAAAAAAACTTTTTTAAAAAAAATTATTCTGATCTGGAGGCTTAGATATTAGAATCATTCTGGATACTGGATGTGTGGGTTTTAGGATTTGTACTGAATTTGACCTTGATTTGTTGAATATTTGAAAGTTTCGAAGCAATGAATTGCTGCAGCAGAATCGTGTTAGAGCGTTTTTATCTTTCTGCATTTCTTCTTGATTTTCATAGTACATGGATGCATTTCAATTAATTATATTACTTTGCACAGTTACAAACGGAATTTCATAGATAAAGTTTGTGTTAAAGAACAAAGCATAACATCATCCTGTTGCATGAAAACTTACTGGAGACCTAGACTAAATATAGTTATTTATTCAATAAAGCAGGGGTTTTTCTGAGCATATGAATCCTATCAGCTGTAACCATTAACAGCTATGCAATTAAAATCTGTTTTCAACATTCAAATTATTTCAATTAGTTGACAGGATAAGATGTGGTAATATGGTAATGGTAGTCAACAGATAGGTAATATGGTAATTGGAGAAGTCAAACAACAAGGATCAGCATTATATTTGTAAATTTTGCAGGACTAGTTTCGATGGTTTAACTACAGAACCATCTTCCTCTGCTGCCAAAGTATAAATGAATGAGATAAGATATGGTGATACGATAAGATAAAAATGGCTGGACAGGAGTTAAAGCTACTCGCGCCATCTATTGATGAAACAAGAAAACAAAAGCATAATTTCCTTAAAGGCTGAAGGTAAAGATGGATTGATCAATTAGCTATAAAATTGCACATATTTTACAGAAATTTAACTTTTGGGTCGTTTATTCTCCTATCAATAAAATTCCCAGTTCCATACTTAAGGACCTCATTCCGGATGTGAATTCCTGGAGTATTTACAGGATTCCTTGCCAGTGTGGTTTAATTTACGCTAGTCAAACTAAGAGTGCCTTAAAATTTCACATTAAAAAACATGATGCCTACGTTAGGAGAAAAGAAACACTGAAGTCCTCTGTTGCCCAGTGCTGTTGGTCCAAGAATCACACTTTCTATTTTTCTGCAACCAAAATTATTAAGAAAAAAATCTTCCATTGGTGAATTAGATTTTCTAGAGGCATATCACATTATAAACAAACCTTTCTGTTCTAATTAATGACCCTAATTCCAATCCATCTTTACCTTCAGCCTTTAAGGAAATTATGTTTTAGTTTTCTTGTTTTATCAATAGACGGTGCCAATGGCTTAATTCCTGTCCATCTATTCTTATCTCATCTCATCACTATATCTTATCTCATTCATTTGCACTTTGGCAGCTGAAGAGAATGGTTTTGTAGTTAAACTATTAAAATAAGTCCTGCAAAATTTACAAATATAATGCTGATTCTTGTTAGAATTCTCCAGTAATCATTATTTGCCATGTTACTTTAACCTAAATCATAGGTAATATGGTGTTTGAAATTTCTGAATTAACTAGTTAAATTATTATAGAGTATTTTAAAAAATTAAATTTATATATATTTTTAAGTTCATATTTAGTAATTTTAAAAGCATGCATGGATAATAAATGCATGATTATACTTTTTAATTAGATTTTTATCACTGGTGGTAGTTTAGAAGACTGCAGAACAGCTCTTGAGATTTCAAAATCATGTGGTAAATATTTTTTTCCTCTAGTTATATAAAAATTTTCATTATTCTTAATTTCACTTTTACAGTCATGATTATAAATTTACAAAAAGACCCTCTAAGGCCCTTTGCAAATCTGACTTAAAAGTTGTGTAGTCCATATTAGACTGCCAAGCATGTTATTACTCCATCTGTGAGAGTATTATGAAGTCCTGAGAAGGTTATACAATAGGTGTAGCTTAATGTGATCATATTTGTCCACAGCTATTTTGATAACAATAAAGGAAAATAGCCTTCAGAACAGTAATGGAATTTAATGCATTTAATATAAAAATATAGAAAAGTATATAAATAGGTACTTATATAGCATTTTAATTATGGAAATTTAAAAGATTGTTTATTAACTGTTCATGACATCTTCATGTTCATTAATGCTTTATAACGTTTCTAGAAATTATTTGACCGATGCTGTACCCTTAATCGTAATATCAGGCTCTCCTCACTGGAAGACAACATAAAAAGCAGTTGCAGTTTGTCATAGATTTCAGTGAATTTTTTTCCAAGGAAAATGAAAAAATTCTGCTGAATGTTTATTGCTCTTGAAGAAGAAACACTTATGTTCATTCCCCTTCAAAATCGAGAGTTGTTCAAACTCTACATCAAACTTTCACTTTTTTTTTGTGTGTCTAATTTTAAATTTTTGACTGAAATTGAAACCAAGCTGTTTGGTAACTTAACTCTTCACTTGGCAGCATTTCTTTGTCTTTTAGTAATTTTTGTAATCTATTTTTACCTTATTTGGTAAATTTATCTTTTATTTGGTGCCTTTAGTTTACAAAATTTATTCAACAATAGTTTAATTATATTAATCAAATTGTTGATCCTGATAAGGGATGTATTTCCCATTTTTTCTATAGAAATGAACTGGAATTAGGTAAATTGATAACAATATCCCAATGATAATATTAATTTCAATCACATTAAGTGGCATGTCCTGCAAATAGCCTTTTTATTTAAATTTTAAACTTAACAATGGCACAATTTGTACATATATATCAAGCTCTGCTACTTGCAAGCATTAGCTAACAGAAAATTGAATTAACCATTGGTTCAAACTTTTAATGGCACAATTTAACTTTGGCTAACAAAATAGCTCATACTGGAATACTAACTTACAGAGTCAGAGGAGCGAAACTACATATTTCAAGCACTGTTGCCAAAAGATTTGTATTTAAAACTTCCTACCATAAACCTCATAATTGCCTCTGCCAGAATTTAAACTATCTGAGAAAAAAAGGTTGATTTGGGTTGTTTTATTTAATTACTAGCCGCTACGTGGCCAGCATTCATCTGGCTTTTAAATGTACTAGAAAAATGCCTAAATGGAACACCAAACATAAAATCTAAAAACTGCACAGAATTATACTGTGCAGAACAGCTTTATCAAAAAAAGATCAATAAAATGTATTATATATAAAAAAATTACAATGAAATAAGCAATATCCCTTAATACAAATATTAATTATCCTAATAAATAAATTAACCAACTTCCTATTGCCTTCTTTCCACAAACTTCCAGTGTCCAAGAGAAACATAAAATTTAAAAACTGCACAGAATTATTGCCTTCATTTTTCGGAGTGGCAACAGTGCTGATATCAGCAACAATGGCAACAGTAATATTTCAGCAACAATGGCTGCATGCTTTTGTTGCTGATATAATGAGAGAGGTGGTTTCTTGGTTGCTGGTGGGTGGTTTTCAAAACAAAGGTCTGAATGACTGATAACATTTAGTTCTAAACTAAATCGTTGACTAATGCTTTTAGAAAAAATATACTAAGGTTATTTCTAAAGCTGAAATTGAATACATTGAAGAATATTGATATAAGATTGAAGATCTTCCCAAACTAAATTTTCACTTAGAGTTTTCTCTTTGGTTCTCACTTTCTTCCAGATTTCTGGAAGGAAAAATAGTTGAAAAAAATATACTTTGATTCCCACATGTTTATTTAAGTACAAGAATAACCTTTTGTGTTTGAGGTTTTAAATCAACTTTTCGTTTTTTCACCCTGCTCTCCAGGTTTGAGTTGAATCAACAAGCATATGCCACTGATAGTTTTACAGCAATATCTACCTCATAACTAAATTCCTACATGGTTAGATTTTTAGACACACTAGGACATCAATGACACCCTATTTCAAAATCTATACCTTATGTTCTAAATTTAAACTTTAGAAATGTTGATTGGAGAGCCTAACTTCTAAATGATTTTCATCGCATTACACTAGCTTTTACAATGATATCAATAACACATTTTTCTTTTGCAATAGCATCAATTCTTAGCATATATTATTCACATATGGCATATTTTAAAGTACTTATCTTCAAACCATTACATTTATTTAGGAGAATGGAAAATGCAGAAATGATGTATAGAGTATTTGCTGTTAGCAATATTTTTATTGAACTGGTGTCAAAATTTTCTGACTATTTACAAAATTAAATTTCTGAATGACAGTATTTCGACTAAGCTAACATAAGAGTGTTCAACTCACAAGCATAAATTTTTAGAAAGTAGATGCATTCATCGCAATAAAGCTTCTTAGCTATGCTTAACATCTTGAATAGCCTTACTTAAGGTACAGGGAAACCATTCCAGCAACTTTGTACCATTCAAAACATAAAGTAAAATTTCTAGTTACACAAATAAATTAAATTCTCACTTATCTTTTGTTTTTGTTGTAATCAGCCATCCTCTTTTTTACAAATTTGGTCCATGATGGCCAGTTCACTCTGTTTACTTGAACTGTTCTTTATGGCTGAAGGTCATACTTATCACCTTCAGGTCTTTTTCTTTTCTCTGCTCACTTGTTGATCCTCATTGATTTTTGTCATCCTTCCAAATTTTGTGGTGGTCCAGATCTGTTGTGGACACATTGCTGCTGAATTCTCCATTTTGGCTGACCTCCTTCTGTACATCCTGGCCACAGGGTCGTTTTGCCTTTTGCCATGCTCCATCCTTGTCAAGTTGCCTTGGTCTTTACCATCTTAGATTTTTATGTCACTGTTCAGTTATACCAACATCATCATATGCTTTTGTATTTTCATCAGGTCTCTTTGCCTTTTGCCATCTATTCTTCCACTTGCTTTGGCCTCTTATGCCAGTGGTCATGGTATCCCCCAAATATTTTACTTTGGCACCTTTTTTTTATATTTCTGGCCTCTTTCCCATCTGTAGCTTTCATTTTGGAGATTATGTGCAATATGGACCTTTTTCCTTTACTGCTATTACCAGTCTCCTTTCTTTTGCTGTATGCATCTTACTGAGACTCAAGTTCAGCTACTTATTCTACTAACATTTTCGACGGGCATGCACTGATCATGGCAGGGATTGCTTCTTTACAGCCCTCTTATGCAACCTTATAAGCAGCCCTTACAATATAGCTCTCTAACATAGCCCTTATAAGCAGCATATCAGCCTGCCAATTTTTCTTAACTTGGTTGATATTAATTGTTACTTTTTCACTGTTCTTAACCTTTAAATATACAGCAGTTTGCCTAATCTGCTCAAGCATAAAAGGACCTTAATTTATTATGAAAATTTCCCAATTTTCCTTCTGATTTGCAGGATCATTCAATGCTTTATTTTGAAAACCTTTTCTGCCATCTTAAAAACTCTCTCATGTGTTTTCTTAACATAGTATTGCTTCGCATAGACCCTATCTGAATTATTTGTTGCCTCATCAAGCAGTTATTAAACAGCTGCCATCTGTTTCTTCAGACCTCTTTTCAACAAAAAATAGTTTATTGAAGGTTGTAATCAACTTTCTCCCGAGAAATAATTCAGCGGGTGTTTTATTGGTGGTATTATGTTTAGCTCATCTTAATGCATAGTCGAGTTCATTAACACAGTTATGGTAATTTCGATTTCTTGCATAACTAGAGATAATTTTAATTAAGTCTTTCTTTACCTGCTCATCAATATTTACCTGTGATAAATGAGGGACCATTTTGAGATTTTTTCAATGTCAAGTCCTTTCAGGACAGTATTATAGGGATTGAATTTAATTCCAGAAATCTTTCATTCATTCTGTTATCATGTCTACTTTTTCTGGTGATATATACAGATGGAGGACAAAATAATACGAACATCTGTGAAATAATGGAAAATTCTTTATTAATAGGGGGGTTGGACCACCCTTTGACTGAAGTACGGATTGAATGTGACGTGGGATAGATGCATAAAGGTCATGGGCAAAAATAAAAGGATTATTAAACCATTCCTCCTGCAGATGGTCTCTAATTCCAAAAGTCCGGATGGAGGTGGAAATCAGGAACAAATTTTGGACTCCAAATATGCCCATAAAGGCTCAATAATATTCAAAACTGAGGTGGCCAGGCAAGATGTTCAATTGCATCATTATGCTCTTCGAACCATTCTTGAATGCACCTAGCAATGTGGATAAGGGGCATTGTCGTCTTGAAAAAGTGTTCGCTTCCCATTGAATACAGTCTAGACAAAAGGATGGACATCATCCCTAGAATGCTTATATAGTGATTGGATGCGATCCTCCCATGCAGAATAACAAGTGGTCCAAGACTGCACCAAGATATCACACCCCATACTATAATGGCGCCACCCCCTTGCTTCACAGTCGGTAAGAGGTAGTTCGGATGAAACGCTTCTTTGGGTATTCTCCAGACATAAACACGTTTGGTTGTCTGAAATAGGGGGAATGACGATTCATCTGACCATATTACCTGTTGCCACTGCTGTGAGGATCAGCCTTTGTGATCTCTGCACCATTGGCGTAGCTTGAAAGCATTAGTTGCTTTCACCAAGGGTTTACGAATTGCAAATGTTCACAACATGAAGTTCCCGTTTGACAGTTTTTGTTGAAATGGGGTCCTGGAGATTACTGGTTATTTTGGATGTTATCTCGGATAACTACTGCTTGTGCTTTTGGGCTACTATGCGCTTCAAGACTCGTCTATCCATACCAGCTAGCTTTGACTTTTGGCCACTGTTGTGCTTTGAAGACATCGTCTTACTCTCTTTCATGTACGCTGTCATAACAGCTGGTACCGTACTCCTTGCACACCCCACAAGGTTTGCTGTTTCCGTAACCGATGCTCCACTTAAGCGCTCTCCAACTATCAATCCTCTTTGGAACTCTGACAGGTCTGACATTTCATTTTCTCACAGGCAGTTTGATCAAACCATGCAACATAGGTGACTGCTGTTGAAAGACTGATACCTTCCTCTTCATGCTCACTAAGTGGTAGACTTCTGTTGCAGGTGGCGCGGCTGTACTGCAGGTGTGAAATACGTCATACTTTTTCACAGATGTCCGCATTATTTTGTCCTCCATCTGTATATATAATGTATCAACAAAAACTATGCAGCATCATGTCATGATTGTTTAGTTCACCAGTAGTCAACTAGGTAAAATTTCTAAATATTAACGATCATTGGTGGATTAGCTTGCAATGTTTCCACTATTTTCCAAAGTATAATGCAAATATGAATGTGCCATTAAGATAAATCAGTCATGGATTGCCATACCCATTAGCTTGTTTGTGGAAACATTTAATTTAGGGTTTCAAAAAGTAATACTGAAGAAACTGTTAGAATTTTTATCATTCAGCCTTGTATAGAGGTCAATCTTTTGCTTTCTAGGTAAATGTCTTTCTAGGTACTTGAAAATAGTTATGACCTATTATAATTGTGGGAGTATCTATTATAATCATAGCTGTATCTTCATTTCAAATTCTTGGTAACAATCTTTTTAATAATCAAATGTAGCTCTTCCATATCCTTGGCATTGAGGATTAGTGAGCCTTAGTGAAGCCTGTTCCTATTTTGTAAACAACAAACACCTTTCTTACTTAAAAAAAAAAAAAAAAAAAAAAAAAAAAAAAAATTATAATGAATGTTCAAGAGCATATGAATTAAGTGCTCCCTCCCTGGGGAGAAAGGGAACCACAATGAGTATAACTCTGTACAAGAGGCGCAGTTACATCTTCTTAGCCATTGTATAGGAAACAGACTCAAAGTGAGTTAATAAAGCAATGTACTCTTAATCTGACAGTGGAAGCGCATTGAAATAAACATATTATTATTGAATTTTTAAATATCTTTGATAAATTATTCTAAAAAAGGCATATGAAATTTAAATGGAGAAAAACATATATCACACTGCTTAAATACTAAATGTGTCTAAAATTTATTATATTAGAGAATATTATATTAAAATTTCATATTTTCATATTCAAGAAATATTCATCATTTAAGTTTTCTCAGAATGATTGCATATCCCAACAGTTTATATCCGTGAAGTTGGGAAATTATGTTAACAACTAGGTTTTTCAATGATCGAAACATGAAAAATAAATTATGATCTCACTGGGATTTGAACCAGATCTTGCATTTGCTAAGTGGTCATGCTAACCGTTTGCTCCCTAAGAGCACACATTAGATTATATGATAATTCCTTGTATCCTTCGAGTGTATTCTATTCCTTCTATACTTGAAGAGTGAGTGTAGAGAGTCAAAATATCTAGTTGACCAAATCCAGATGGTGCTAAATTATCATTCGCCATATTTTAGTTCAGGCACCATTACAGAGATTATTAGATTTTTGGTTCATAAAACCTGAAAAATCAACTCTGCCAATCCTGGAACTTGAATTCACTCCTTAAGCTGGATTGCTCTTCTAGACTTATTATGAAAGCACCCACAGGAAAATGTTAAATAATGTTTAATGCAAGGCATTATTTAAATGCCTCGCAAAATAATGTTTAATGTCATGATATTGGTATAAAAAATTATGCTGATATTTTTAATGGTTAAAATGCTAATATGTAGGACAAATGTTTTACTAATTGCAAATGGCAGTATGATAATGGAAGACAAAAAACTGTTAAATTATTAATTCCTATAATTTGCGCTTTCTTCACTCCCCCCCCTTTTTTTTAAATAGGTAGAAAACATTTAAGCTTGTCAAATTGTATAAGCAAATATATGTGACTCTGCATGTAATGAAAAAGTATACAGCTAGCAATAAATTTCTGATATCAATGCAAATTTTTTTTGGTACTTTTGCTGGCAGTCATTTTTAACCATTGTATATGCAAGAATGTGACTCTGCATGTAATGAAAAGTATACAACTAGATAAATATTCAGTATAAATTTCTGATATTAATGTAAATTTTTTTTTGGTTCTGTTGCTGGCAGTCATTTTTATCTAATTCATTTTGAAAAATAGTTTGATAATCTCATTCAAGTAATTGTTCGATAATTTCATCTCAAATGCAGTATTATTTTAAGAAAATATATACAGTAGAAGTCCAGAAATCCGCAAAGCTTGGGACCAGAGGTTGTGCGGATTTTAGGATTTTGCGGATTTCAGGACAGAAAAGATAAAGCATAATATTCGGACTAAAAGTGCAAAATAAATAAGGCGTATTAGATGCATTTAATTAAATTATTATGTACATTATTCCAATAATTGATTATATTATTCATTGTATTATATGTACACAGCATCGAGGTTGCCGATTTCGCCTCATGCAAAGATTTCTGGTTTCGGATACGGGTGTTAGAATTACTGTTGCTGTAAAATCTCAACAGCTTTTCTTTATTTTTCCGTATATCATACACAATTGTGTCTCAATTCCATACCATTTTGCTATAAATCGAGGAGTAGCACCTGCCTTCATCTTTTGCAGAATTTGCACTTTTCGCGTTACCGTCAATGCAACGTGTTTACGTTTTTCAACATTGCAAGCAGTAAAATCATGAGTGCGTTTCTTATTTGTCACTGTATTAAAAAGGGCTGAAATTTAAAATATTCTTAATTTATCCACAAAATATCAGGATTAAAAAAGAGGCAGCATTAAACAATCTCGAAATTACAAAGCTCAGAAAATACAACAACGTGAATCGTGAACTTGAATGAAGAGTTGAGTGAATCATCTGCTTTTTTACCTCGATGCAGAGATTAGAGAGAAAAAACTTTTATCTTATTTTTTTAAACTTTTTTTATGTCAATAATTTAGTATTTCCGTTATGGCTCATTATTATTTGGTAATTATGACATCGTTATTTGGTAAGTATTTTTTCTTCTATATTTTGTACTCAATGTTGCGGTTTCCACAACCTATAAACTGAATGTTTATATTTTGAGAGGCAATGCAGATTTCAGGTCGGCAGATTTTCAGTATTTGACTGTATTGACAGTATGAAGATTTTAAAATGTTATCAAATTATGACTTCTGAATTTGTTCATAAGAATCTGGAAAGTGCGAGTAAATCAGGTTCAGACACTCAGGTTATAAATATCTTCAAATTATTTATTTAAGGATTTTGGATTTATACATTTGGTTTATAAAATAGGTATTGATTTATATTCATTATGCATTTTGAGTTCAATTAACAAAATGCTTTTCCTTTAGCTTCAAAAGCAATTTTTGAAAGGCTTATGTTTTTAGCTAGACATTGATAAAAACAATTATTCTGTTCTCTTTTACTATTTTTGATTTTTACTTTTTCACAGATATGCTGTTTAGTACTGTAGGATGTCATCCAACTCGCTGTTTAGAATTTGAAGCATGTGGGGATCCTGGGGGATATCTTCAGCAGTTAAAACTTCTTGCTTTGGAAAACAGACTTAAAGTTATAGCTGTTGGAGAATGTGGCCTAGGTAAATTATAAAAATGTTTTTTTTTAAAATGTTTCTAGTAAATATCTTTGCATTTTAAATATTATTCTTTAACTTTAATTAATTAATTTTTTGGTAATAACTTAAAATATAACTGCGACATAATACAGTACAATCTTTAATCCGGACATCCATAATCTGGAATGATCTATAATTCGGACCTCAAAGCTACAAATTTTCTGCACATGTGTAGCGTTTACACGTGCACATATGTGTTTACGCAGGCGCATAATACCTTTACGCATTCGCATATGCATTCACGCATGCACATAATGCATTTATGCATGCGCATAATACATTACGCATGCACGTTTAATGTATAACAGATGGTATAAGCTAGGCTAAAATTATCTAATTATCTATTTCAGTTAATGTTGCAGATTGCATTGTTCCTCAATCTTCGAATTGGATCCGGCTTATTATTTTTTGCAGACTGTTAGAGTAATATTATAAAAAGTAAGCTTGAACTTTCGATTATGTCAAAAAGAGTTTCCGATTCTGGAGCTGCCAAAGGATCTACAAAGTGAAAGCATGTTTCGATGTCCATCAACAAAAAGTGGAATTGCTGCAAAAAATGGATAAAGGCATGAAGAAAGTGACAGAGAGTTTAGTGAAACTGAAAAAATTTCGATTGACAAGTTAGTTGGTATTCTTGGCACGGCAATTACAAGACTTGAACAGCAGAACTTTGTAACTGGACAAGAAATTATGTCTGTTTATAGAATTAAAGAGAAAGTATTCGCACATAAAACGAAGCAACTTAAACAACTTACATCGAAAGAAATGTTTAATAAAGTAAATAAATATTAAGCTTTTTTTTTTTTTTTTTTTTTTTTTGTAAATTTTGATAGATCATAATTGCTCTTTAGATCATAATTGCCCTTTAGATCATAATTGCTCTTTATTTCATAAATTACGGTTTCATATTTTTAATTTTATAATTTCTGCATTTTATCTTACCAGATTTATATTGGTGATCTATAATCTGGAAAAACCCCTAATCCGGAATTGCCGAAGTCCCGAAGAGTCCGGATTGAAGACTTCGTACTGTACTAATCAGCTCATAATGTCATCACAGCTGTTCTTGAATAGAAACACTCAGATGCATTTCATATAGAATCAGTCTGTGGAATTTTTCTCTTGATTAAATAATGCTTGTGTATTGCAAATCACAATAGTTTAGTTCTATGAAAAACTTTTTCACCTGGTAAAATATCATTAATTTAATCTCAACTATAAAAATAATTTTGCCAAAAGAACTACAAGGAGGTAAGATTGTTGTTGTTATTAATTAATTATCACACAAATTATTAGTCTATAATTAACATTATTGTAGTGGTGATATTCTGCAAGTAGAGAAGTGGTAATAAATAAAAATGATATAACCAGTTTTTCTTTGTGATGTCAATGCCCTAATCATCAATCAACTAACAGATGGCAAAAGCTGTGGTATTGTTTTAAATCCACAAAATATCATTATCAATAAATGGTGAAGAAAGTGACTGAGAAATTGCTGAGAATGAAAAAAATTTTGATTGATTTTATGGGAATTCTCAACATGGCAGTTACAGGACGTGAACAGCGGAAATTTATAACTGAAGAAGAAATTTTGTCTGTCTGTAGAATTAGAGAGGAAGTATTGGGGGAGGAAAACAACTTGAACAACTTATATTGAAAGAAATGTTTAATAAAGAAATAATTATTGAACAGATATTTTTTGTAAATTTCAATTCCTTTAAAGTCATAAATGCTTCATTATTTTATAAACCACTATTTCATACTTTTATAATTTCTATATGTCATCTTACCAGATTTAAACTGATAATCTAATATCTGGGGGGGGGGGGGGGGGGGGGGGGAATTGGCAAAGTCCTGATAAGTCCCTATTTTGTACTTTATACTGTGTATATATAAATAAATAAATAAATATAAATGAGTAAATACAAATTAAAGAGCAGTTTGAAACAATTCAAAACCTTATCCATCAAACTGTATGTTGATAGCAGCAACAGGTAATAGGAATAATTCCAAATCAAATCAACTTAAGGTTATATGTTTAACATCCATCCTAACTTCAATTCAGAACAAACCATATGTAATAATAAAAACCAGAAGCAGAATGGTAAATTGCATGAAATCTGCAAAAAATGTTGAAACCAAATATGAAAAAGGAAGAAAGTAATATATCTTTCACTGCATTGTCATCAGAGGGTTCGTGCAACATAAGAAGTAGAAACATTAGCCTGTTTCTAAGTAAGTTAAGACATAAGTTAAAACTAGAGTTTAATACTTAAAATAATCTTAGAAAGTTATTTAAAGCAATGATTATTTTTATCATTTGAACCCCTCTGTGCTAAAAATTGCAAAATAATAGCATTAAGACCATAAACAAGCGTAAAAATCTGAAAAAAAAATTTTTTTTTTTCCGAGTGACAGAGTTCAAAAAATAAAATATGTAAACACAATTAAACACATGAAAAAATAATGATGTAAGAAAATTTGATATCAAAAGCAAAGAACAAGAAATGAAAAAGTATAAAAAGTTCATTAAGTCTGTAAACATTCAAATCGCTTTGAAATGGGGGGAAAAAAATCAACATGCCTAGTGGGATAAGACTGTTGTCATGCCTAACAGGTGCTAGGTAAAGAAATTAGCTTTACAAATTTTAAATTGACTAAAATTGTAAAAAGAGTTTTGAAAACTTCTAATGTATCATTATATGGGGTGTAGTAAATGTAACAAAAAAGCCATTATATTACGACCACCCTTTATCTATAACAATGGACTTGCCCAAAACAAAACAACTCTGCATGCGTGGCTGATGTTGGAGTATATAAAGTGGCTATGCATTTTCTTTCCAAACATAACGTGATTAGCGACATAATGGGAAAACCAGCTGACTCATCAGACTTTGATAAAAGTCAAATTGTTATGGCTGGGAGACTGAGAACATCAATGTAAAAAACGGTGCATTTAAAGTGGGCTGTTCACATGCATTTGTTACGAGCACATATCGAAAGTGGTGTACAAATGGTGAAACGACAAGCCAGCAGTGTGTCATCAACAGCACATTGATACCAGAAGAGAGTGGAAATTGCTATGCATTGTTCGCCGTGACTGAAGAGCTACAACAGCCGAAATCACCACCAACTACAACAGTGATAAGCCAGACAGTGTTTCTCAACACACTACAGTGTACGTTGCTGCGTATGGACCTACGCAGCCGGAGGCAGAAGCATGTCCCTGCACTGACGACACGTCATCGCCAGCTGTGTCTATAGTAGGCCAAGAAACGTCGGAGTTGGACATTAGAAGGATGGAAGATAGTTGCATGATCTGAAAATTCATGTTTTCTGGTCCATCACATCAATGGACATGTGCTAATATGTCGATTTCGACGAAACCCTCGCTCCCGGATGCACAGTTGGATGGAGACAAGCTCATGACAGGGGTATTATGGTGTGAGCAATGTTTTCGTGGAGTACATTAAGACCTATAATCCCCACAGAACAATCCCTGATGTCTATGCGCTACATGAACATCGTTACAGACCAGATATACCATTTATGACAACAGTATTTCTGGTGGGGAATGGTTTTTACCAACAGGATATTACTCCATGTCATAAGGGTAAAATTATCAGGGAGTGGTTCGAGGAACATTCCAGTTACTTTAAAGTCATGTCTTGTCCTTATCTTCAAGTCATGTCTTGGCCATTAATCTAATAGAGCATTTGTGGTCCCACCTGGAAAACCAAATTCGTGCTGCCACGCTACCCCCTCGCAGTGTGCAGGAATTACAGGATTAGTTGGTGAGCACTTAATACTAGATACTTCAGACTGCATATCAGCATCTTGTGAAGTCAATGCCACGCCGGGTGCTGGCAGTATATATGCAAAATATAAAAAATATGATGGCTTTGCTGTACGCGAACAGGCAACCTCTAATTAACTCTAACTCTAACTAACAATTTCAGGATCTTTCCCCTAGACCAGTACTTTCAAGAATATTCTGGCATGTTATATAACCGCTACTTTAAATGAAGACTTCACACCATTTTTCATCAGATTGCTTTTCTCCTCCTCCCACTATCAGAGCTTTGCTGCCATTCTTCCCATCTACCTCCCTTTGTTTGAACAACATGATGCAGTAAATTTAAAGTTAATACTATTTTAGTTTAAATTACTGCCGTGTATGTAATCTTGGAAAATCTAAAAGAAAAATGATTTGCCTTTTGAATTGAATAAAAATGAGGTATCAAAACAGCTAACTTCTTCTGTGTCATCATTTCATGCCAAGCTTCATTCATGTGCCCAACTGCCAAAATATTACACACACATATATATATATAGAGAGAGAGAGAGAGAATATAATTGTGATGAAAGAAAAGGTTTGCATTTTCCATAATGTGTATGCAATATTATTATATTTCTAATGCTTTTTTAACATTTATCGTCCAAAGAAATTATAGTGTTAGGTGTTTCCCAGGTAAAAATTGTAGCTGACAAAGTTTGTAGACTATTGCGCTAAGATAAAGTAATATTTTGCATTATTACCGTGTTTCAAAATGATATTACAAAAAGAATATGTTGCAAATTTAACAAATCTTGAATTTGTTTTATTTATCTCTTCTATTTGAACAAACAATTATTATTATAATAAATACCTTAGAATGTAATAATTATAGTGGCTTATTTCATAATCACTACCTGTTCAGTGCAAAGTAAAATATGATATGTGAATTAGCATATTTTAGATAAATAAATGGCAAATAATTTTTTTAATGTGATTAAGAAAATTTTTTGAATTAAACTTAAGAAACATTCTTTAAAAGTAGTGCAGGGCATATTCCTTACCTTCATATTTTGTAAGGTACTTTGTCCTATTGACTGTAAAAGTTGGCTATTATTGAATTATGAAAATTGGCTGAGATCCTGCCTTAGAACCTCAACCTAACAATAATCTCAACAAAACATTTGTGAGTCTCTATGCTCAATCAATCAAATAGCTATTGCTGCAGTATCACTCAACCACATTCATTTTTGCACTTTGTAAAAAGGTTATCGATTTCTACTGTTTTGCTAGGATGTTTAATCTTATCAAAAGCTTTATTTAGAATGTTACAAGTAAAAATTTCCAGCAGATAATTGAGATATATCCATCTGTTCTTTTTCCCATTCAACAGATGTTAATGCTCTTAATTATCTGTAAATGAAACGAAATGCAGTCACAAGTTGGATTCTACAGCCTTTGAATCACATTCATTTTTGAATAGGGTCATTTGAAATCTGAGATCTTCTAGTGTAACTCATCATATACCATACATTCAGTTTTTCTTTATTATAGTTGCCCCTGAGATTGAATCTCTAATTAACAGAGATATCTTGAAACATGTTCTTATAAAAGGTGCTGCAGTAAAATTTGTGATTTGGGAATCCTGGAAATAGCAAATTACATTAAGAATCAGAAAACAGAACCGGTGCCATCTGGACAACAAACCTTTTCCATTGATCCTGATATTCGTGTTCAGTTCAAATGGTGTTGTGGTTTGATGCATAAGTTGCTTTTGCCATGAAGGCATTTTATAAAAACAATGACAGCTTCTTATCCATGTATTTCATGCTCATTGCAATCTCGCACGTCATGCCTCAATCCTGTCAACATATGCTATCAAATTGTGGGTACAGAACTTTGAGGAAACAGGTGATATGGTGAGAAAGAGGCATGGAAGTGCAAAACGTGCGTGCACGCCAGAAAATGTTGTAAGAGTGGAAGAAGCCTTCAGCCGATGTCCCAGACATTCTGCACCCAAGCATGTGCTGCAGTTTGACATATTGGATTACAGTGTACAGCAAATATTGCACAAGGAACTGTAATACCAACCATATAAAATACAGATAATGCAAAAATTGAATGGGGACAATCTCCCAAAGAGACTATGCTTTTACCGGGAATTTTTGGATCTTGTGAGTGACAAATCAGGCCTGTGCGATAATCTGATCATGAGCGATGAGGCAAAATTTTATGTGTCAGGCTTGAAAAGCCATTTCACAGTCAGAAAATGGTAGTATGGTGTGGCGTATCCTCATTTAGAATCATTAAGCCTTCTTTTTTTTTTAAGATGATAGCGACAAGGCTATTATTGTGAATATAGAATGTTATGCTCACATGTTGCATCATTTTTTAGTGTGATAGCTTGCTGATCTTCCTGTAGCTTCAGACACATTCTTCCAATAAGAGGGGGCCACATGCATATCTCGTAGATTTCCATTAACGTGCTACAGAATGTCTTTTCTGGTCATCTCATCTCCGATATCCCATGATTTTTCAGTGTGTGATTTCTTCATTTGGGGTCATTTGAAATCTGAGATCTTCTAGTGTAACTCATCATATACCATCCATTAACTGAAAGACCATATGTGGGAGGAAGTTAATCAAATTCTAGTGTCAGTCTTGCCAAATGTGATGTCTAACTTCTGCAAAAGACTTGAAATGTGTGTGAATGAAAAAGGGGGACCCCCTACAAGATATCATTTTCAAGTGATGAAAATTTTGCTGGGTGACATGTCTGTGCAAGGTGTGCAAGTTGTTCAGAAACATTCTTTACACATTGCAAGCATTGTAAATTCATGTTGAATCTTTTATATCACTGTGAATAAATTTGTATCATTAGTGGAGGTTTCAAAATTACCCGTTTCACTGCTGTGCTTGTTATTAGCATCATGTTTCATTTTTGCTAAAGTTTTCAAATTCACATTGGTTTTTTAAAAATATTCCTTGCTTTTTTGGGATTATGCAGCTAACAGTCTTTACCAAATGTAGAGGTGGATGCCATATAATTTTTTCAAGAAAGAGGTCTTTTACCTGGCAAATTAGTGTGCTCAAATGGCCACAACATGAAGCTACGTATGTGTTAATTAATAACGAAGCCATCTGAAAGGTGCAGTGTCAAAAATTGTAAAAAGAAGAATTTGCATCTGTGTTGAAAATTGATTCAGTGGTCCCAGAATATCATTCGTCACTGCTATTATGTTTATGTCTTCTTGGCCATAGCAGTTGATGTCCATCAAATGGTGCATTAAACAGCTTAATACTCATACATCTGAAAACGCTGCAGTTGACTGTATGTTATAAGTTATGTTGTGACATCTTGCTTTTCATATCTGGCACTAAATTGCGTGGCTTGACGATATCGCAGTCAATGGAATAATATATAAGTATGTATTGTAGTTATTAAATTTAGAATTTTATGAACCAGGGTTTTTAAATAACTCTAAATTACTTTTTAAATACTTTATTGGGTATAATTATAGCATACTTCTTGTGATTACTTTTTAAATATCTGTCTTACTTTCTTGTTGCACTACCTTTATTTCATTACACAAGAAATTTTATTTAATTGAGTTATTTCAATTTACATTTTCATGAAAGCTGTTAACTTAAAAATTAAAAAAAAAAAAAAATATATATTTTATTATTATCTTTTAGATTATGATCGTTTAGAATTCTGTCCTAAAGAAACTCAGTTGAGGTAATGGACCATTTTATCAAATACTTTCCACAAATTTTGAATTGATCCATTTATTAATAGTAGTTACTATTTAATAATGATTTTATAATAATTCTTAAATTTTTTCTATAGGTATTTTGAATGCCAATTTGATATTGCTGAAGCAACACGGCTTCCAATGTTTCTCCACTGTCGGAATGCATGCAGTGATCTTCTTTCCATTTTAAGAAGAAATAGAGATCGTTTTACTACTGGTGTGGTAAGCTTACTGAAGGCTTGTTTTTATGAGATTAACTATTGTAGCTGTTTACATAGTCATTTTTGAAAATTTATAATCTATTTACAAGTATAAATAAAAAGATAAATACTCTGACAGATTCCTTACTATCCTAATGACTACTTCAGAGTTCTGCATAATTTTTGTTAGATTTGGAACTATGGAGAGCTATAGTTATCTGATTTATACACTTATACTAAAAAAATAAGCAAAAATCGATAATGGTACAAATGTGAAAAGGAAAATTAAAACATACAGTTTTCATATGAGGTAGAGCTTGCATTGCCAAATGTAAATAGGCAACCAAAATTAACATAAAACGCAATCCTCTAATCACACCTCAGTGACTTAAAAAGGGTCATGCCTGACTTATGCCTCAGTTTGCAAACAGTGGTAGTTCCATCTAATCCAAGATAGCCAAAGCAAAAAGCATGAGCTGAAGACACCATCTGCGCAATGAAATGCGGAGGGTTGTTGGGCTGCTGCAAGCCAGTACAAGACAATCTACTGTTGTGAGAGAATTGAATGTGCATCATAGTGTCATTAGTAAGCTGTGGAATCATTATCAAAGGGATCAAAACCCCTGTAGAAGATGTGGGGCTGGATGCCTTAGGATTATCACAACAGCAGACTATCACTTCCTGTTGCTATGTTCAAGGTACTGTAGATCACTAACATGACTACAGCTGGCACCGTATTTCTCTGCTGCTGCAGGACAGCCCATATCCCACCAAACTGTGTCGTGTCGACTGCATGAAGGTGGACTGTAGGCCTGACGACCTGTGATTTGTGTTGTCTTGTCCCCATTGCATGTCAGAGCATGGTTGAATTGAACATCTTAGTTGGACACGAGAGCAGTAGGGCCACATACTCTTAACAGATGAATCTCTTTTTTTATATGTAGAATTCCTGTATGATTCCTGAAGGGCAGTGATATGGCAAAAGCCAGGGACATGCTATTAGGGATCTAACATTGTTGAAAGAGACCATTACAGAGAAGGAGGCTCATTTATATGGGCTGTGGTAGCAACAAATGGCCGCACCAACCTCAATGTGATTCCTGGTGATTTTGTCACAGTTGTCCGCTATTGCAATGAAATTCCACATCCTGTTGTGCATTTTTTTATCACTGCAATGGGTACTGACACAATATTTATGGATGATAATGCCTACCTGCATAGAGCTTGAGTGGTAAGGGTTTATCTGAAGAATGAAACCATTCCACATCTGCCGTGACTTGTTAAATCAATGGACCTGAATCCTATTAAATGTGTGGAACATATTGGAGTGATGGATAGCAGGTCGCAGTGTGCCACCAGGCACCCTCTTCACAAGCTCCAACATGCATTACTACAAGAAGGAATGCTACTGTCACAACGAGTGATCAGTGATACTATCGCCAGCTCATCTTGCCATTGTCAAGCATGCATTTAGGCTAAAAAGTATCATACCATTTATTAGCATGATGTTTCCATTGCACATTCTTTCAACCCATTTGGTCTTTCGGTTAATGGTCATAATATATGTGTTTTTGTATGTCTGTGCTTTATTATTTGCTATATGGTCTAGTAATGCGACACCAACCTCTTAGATCAATTTCATGCATATCCATTAAATAGTTTTTATTTTATTCTGTGTTTTGGCTTTGTCACTTATTTTTTTGAGCAAGAGTGTATTTATTATATAACATTCGTAAAAATATATTTTTGATGAAATTTTAAAATAGTGCATTACATGAATATATCCTGTATTTCAACTCCATATTCATTTCTATAACATTTTTTTGAGTATATGTTGTGTTAAAGGCAATACCAATGAATAATATGAAAAATGGGAAAAGAAAGCTATGACTACAATGATTTTAAATTGAATGACTAAATATTTAATTATATTGCTGTCATGTTCCACAGATCATCTTTATTTAGATATTTATTATATAAATGTTGATATGATTTTGAATTTGAATCTTATAAAAATATGATATGTTGATGGAAAATGACTGAAAATTAAATAATTTTTAAAATGAATTGGTGGTAAAAAATCAAATGATTTTCAATTGAATAAGAAAATATTTTTGATGATTTTCTGCTTTCCACAATATTAGTTCAGATGAATAAGACTTTAAAATAATATTTGATATGATAAATTACAATAATGCAATCTAAATTGTATTTTTATCTTTTCATAAGAAATTTTTAACTAGCAGTTCATTGATAAAATATCTCAAAGAATGTCTGCTTATGAACCAAGCTGGTTTTAAAAAAAAGTCATTGCAGGGCTGCTTTAGGTACAGAAAATATTTTTGAAAAACTGTAGGATGAAAATTATCTTGAAATATTTTTAAAATTGAATAATGTTTAACTTTTTAAAAGTTTTATTTAGGTTAGCAAAATTAAAACCTTGTGAAGTTCTAAAATATACTTGAATATATTGTCTTGCCTTATCTCACTCTTATCACCTAAGCCACCAAATTCCACCACAAGTTTCCCGAATTTATCATGGTAAAGATCACAATATTATATCTATCGTTGGCTTTGGTCTTGAGCACTATTTGCAGTTTTGGCAGAGCTTTATCCCAGTTTTAAATGTAAAATCCCCCCCATGACAGATTGGAGGGTTTTTTACGCCTCATCCTGTGTCACCTGACCACTACAAAGAATCTTTGCCTCATCATGTATTTTGAGTCTTCCCATGCTGTACAGATGCTATACACTTACAAACATCCATGTTTTTTTCAGGACTCAAACCCGAGCTTAACAAACAATGCAGCAGCCAGGAGGACTAAACACTGTACTGATCAGAACAACATACTTGAATCTGCAAAATAAAAGTACAACTTCTTACAGTCAAAAGTCTTTAATCTGGACTCATCGGGACTTCGGTGATTCCGGATTATCGATTTTTCCGGATTATAGATTATCAGTTTAAATCTGGTAAGATGGCATGCAGAAATTACAAAATTAAAAATATGAAACCGTAATTTATGGAATAAAGAACAATTATGATCTAAAGGGTATCAAAATTTACAAAATAAAGCTTAATATTCATTTGTTTACTTTATTAAACATTTCTTTCAACGCGCGCATGCGTAAAGTATACATTATGCATCATGTCGAAATTAGAAAATTGCAACCAAAAAACTATTTGATGTGTATTCGTGATATTTATAATGAGTTTGATTTAAATCATATCAAAGGCAGAGTACATCAAGATGAAATACTACATTTAGTAATGAACTATAAGCCGAATAAAATAAAAACATCTGCCCTGAAGATAAGGATAGTGCTGACAGATCAACTTCCAGTTCATTGCGCGCTGCGACGTTCCCCTCCCCCGCAGATCAACTTGAAATTGATGAACAGATTTCAGAATGGTTAGAGAAACAAAGGATATGCCTTTATCCATTTTTTTGGAGCAATTCCACTTTTTGTTTGATGGACATTGAAACATTCTTTGGCTTTGTAGATCCTTTGGCAGTATCCAGCATCGGAAATTCTATTTGACATAATCGAAAGTTCAAGCTTACTTTTATAAAATTGCTCCAACAGTCTGCAAAAAATAATAAGCCGGATCCAATTTGAAGATTAAGGAACAACGCAATCTGCAACATTAACTGAAATAGATAATTAGATAATTTTAGCTTAGCTTATACCGTCCGTTATACATTAAAAGCACATGCATGCACATTTATGCACATGCGTAAAGGTATTACACGCATGTGTAAAAGTATTATGCACATGTGTGAACGCATTATGCGTTGACGCATGCGCAGAATGTTTGTAGCTTTGAGGTCCGAATTATAGATTATTCCGGATTATGGGCGTCCGGATTAACGACTTTTGAGTGTATTAGGGAGCATATAGAAGCTCCTTGCAATTTCTTAAAAAATATTCCATCAAATATAATTTTAAAGTGGTATAAATCATGGAGGCAAAAAATGCAAAAAAGAAAACATTAAAATATTTATAAGTTGTTTTTTGTAAAAGCAGTTACTGTTTTATTAGTTTTGATTTTTTAGAAATAAGTTATAGAACAATATACATGATTAGAAAAACATAAGAAGAGAAACCAGTTTAAATTTTTAACTATTGTAGGTTCTGAAATCGAATAAATTATTGATGAGAAACTTAGTCTTTTCTTAAAGGTGGTATAAGTTGAAGGATGCTGCTAGACATTAAAATTACTAATCTAACAAAAGAAAGTATTTAGCAGAATTGTATTTATTTCACAAATACATTGTGAGGTAAGGACGGAATGATGAAGTTCTGGTAGATTTGAAGTTCAAAACATGCAAAAATAAGTACCCCAATCCACACCCTGCCATATATCTTTGAGCCATATATCCCAGCCATATATCTATATATCATTTTGCCCAATATCTCGTCAGGACTTCGGCGATTCCGGATTATCGATTTTTCCAGATTATAGATCATCAGTTTAAATCTGGAAGATGGCATGCAGAAATTATAAAATTAAAAATATGAAACCATAATTTATGAAATAAAGAGCAATTATGATCTAAAGGGTATCAAAATTTACAAAAAAAAAAGCTTAATATTTATTTGTTTACTTTATTAAACATTTCTTTCAATGCGTGCATGCGTAAAGCATACATTATGCATAGTCGAAATAAGAAAATTGCAACCAGAAAACTATTTGATTTGTATTCATGATATTTATAATGACGAGGAATTTAATTTAAACCATATCAAAGACGGAGTACATCGAGATGAAATACTACATTTAGCAAGGAATTATAAGCCGAATAAAATAAAAACATCTGCCTTGAAGATAAGGAGAATGCTGACAGATCAACTTCCAGTTCGTTGTGCGACGCGATGTTCCCCCCACCCCACCCCCGCGCAGAGCAGCGTGAAATTGATAAACAGATTTCGGAATGGTTAGAGAAACAAAGGAACCTTTATCCATTTTTTGCAGCAATTCCACTTTTTGTTTGATGGACATTGAAACATGCTTTCCCT